TGGTGGTGGTTTGGTGGTGGTGGTGGTATGGTGAAGTGGCGGTGGTGGTGGTAGTGGTGGTGTCGCTGGTGGTGGTGGTGGTGGCGTGGTGGTTTGTGGTGATGGTGGTGGCGCTGGTTGTGGTGGGGGCGTGGTGGTTTGTGGTGATGGTGGCTGTGGTGGTGGTGGGTTGCGGTGGGTTATGGTGGTGGTAGTGGTGCTGCTGGTGCTGGTACTGGTGCTGGTGGTGGTGGGTGGTGGGTGGTGGGTGGTGGTGGTGGTGGTGGTGGTGGTGGTGGCTGTGGTGGTTTGTGGTGGTGTGGCGGGTTGTAGTGATGGTGGTGGTGGTGGCGGTGGTGGTAATGGTGGTGGTGGTGGTGTGCTGGTTTGCGGTGGTGGTGGTGTGGTGGGTTGTGGTGGGTTATGGTGGTGGTGGTGGTTGTGGCGGCGTTTTTCGTGGTGGTGGTGGTGTAGTGGTACGTGGTGATGGTGGTGGTTGTGGTGGTGGTTGGTTGTGGTGGTGGTGGTGGTGACGGTGGTGGTCGTAGTGTGGTGGTGGTGGGAGGTGGTGGTGGTGGTGGTGGTGGTGGTGGTGGTGGTTGTGGTGGTGGCGCGGCCTTCGTGGATGGCTCGACAGATGGGTCTCGGGGGCGTCTGGGGAGCATTTGTGAAGCCTCGTGGACCTTCCCGGGGGCCTCTCGGTGGCTTTTTGGGGGGTGAGGGCTCGATGTGGCGATTTGTGTTTCCCCTCTGCGGCCTCTGGGCCCTCTCTGGCCCCCGCCGTCTGCGCTGCTGGCCGCCGCCAGCGCCGGCGCCAGCGCCGGCGGGGAGAGAGGGGGGGTTGGGGTTTGGACCCCCCCCCTTCCCACAGGCTCTCTCTGGTAATCGTCGCTGCGTCCCCGCCGTCGACGCTGCTGGCCGCCGCCAGCGCCGGCGCCGGCGCCAGCACCAGGGTTTTGGAAACTCCCCCCCTTCACCATGGGGAGGGGGGGGGGGGTTGGGAAGGGGAGAGGTTTAGGGGGGGGAGTCACCCTGGTTCTGATCGACGGCGCCGCGTGTTGGGGGGGGCCCACCCCCTGGTTCGAAACGCGCCGCCGAATGTTTCCAAGGCAAGCTCCCGTGAAACGCGCTTTCTCCCATATGTTGATCGTTGCAGATCACATGTCTCGCCAGGCGCCCAGCTTGCATGGTCTCTCGGCCAAGCATGACAGGCAGCATGAGGCCAAAGGGCGGGCGAGTCTCAGGAGGGATCAGGTTCAGGCTGCCGAGCTGTCCACGACCCACGTCGTCGTGAAGACCAGCAAAGGGCTCCTTTATTTTGCGGCCTGTTTGCCCAGGCCATCGATTGTTTCTCCGAGGCAGGCGTGGCTCTCTGTTCGCTGCCTCGGCCATCCCTCCCATCTGCACGCTTCTCACCGCATCGTGCGTTTCACAGGTGTCTTCAGGCGCAGGAAGCGTGGAGGAGTAGCAGCGCAGAGTTCCCATCGGCTTGCGAAGCCGCGCGTGCAGCCGTTGACCAAGCATGGCAAACGAATGGTCGACGCGGTCGAGCGTGGAGTTTTGCCACCTGGGCACCGGGAGTGGCCCCAGCCAGATGATCTGGAGCCCCGGCGCGCCGGCGCGCCGGCGCGCCGCGGTCATTCAAACTCTTGGAGAGCAAGCGGCCAACGAGTCGCAGCGGCCCCTGTCAGAGGATTCGGCCGCTCAGCTAGGCAATGAGCAAGAGGAGGAGGGGGGAGGAGGAGGAGGAGGAGGAGGAGGAGGAGGAGGAGGAGGAGGAGGAGGAGGGGGAGGAGGGGGACGAGGAGAAGGAAGAGGAGGAGGAGGAGGTGGAGGAGGAGGAGGAGAGGGGAGATGGGGAGGGGAAGGGAGAAGGAGTGTGGTGAAGATGCTGATGCGTATGATGGTGATGAGGATGAGGATGACGATGATGCCGATGGTGATGATGATGGTGATGACGCAAATGCAAATTCAGATGAATCTGGTGACGCACATGACGATGACGATGATGATGATGATGATGATGATGATGATGATGATGATGATGGTGGGGGTGATGATGATGATGATGATGATGACGACGACGACGACGATGATGATGATGATGATGATGATGATGATGATGATGATGATGATGATGATGCTGATGATGATGATGATGATGGGGGTGATGATGATGATTATGATGACGATGGTCGTGATCATGTTTATGAACATGACTATTATGAGTATGAAGGTGATGAATATGGTGGTTGTGATGACGATGCGGATGATGATGGTCACGGGGATGATGCTGCTGATGATGACGATGAGTATGAACAACATGAGGATGATTAAGGTGATTGTGATGGTGATGGTGATGATCGGTGGTGATGCAAATTATGTGGGTGAGCCTGCTGATGATTGTCATGATGATGCGGCGAATGAGGGCGGCGATTATTATAATGATAAGGATAAGGAAGGTGATGCTGTTGCTGACGATGGTAATGCTCGTTATGAACATGACCATGAAGGCGAATTTGACAATGAGGATGACGACGGCGATGATGACGGCGAGGATCATTACTATGAGAACGACGTCCTTGGGGCTGCGAATTGAAAATGCACATCGCTGGATGTCGGGGGACATGGGTTTTCGTTTCACCCACGGGGGCCCAGGAATAATCCGCATCCGGTGGCTCCGTGGGTCCCAGGGCGTCGGTGTCCCAGGCGGTTTGTACGTATGCACGTCGCCCCTCGGATCGTACACGGTCAACCCGCCTTGTATGAGGATAGGCAACCTTCTCAAGGGTACCCTCGCATCCTTGCCTTTTCCAGTCCATCCTTGGCCGTTTTCGTTGGCCGCGCCCCGCTCGGAAAGCTCCGACATGGCCGTCCAAGGCCCTTGCATCCTTATCGCGCATCCTTCTGATGCGGGCTGACTGTGTCCTCCACACCTCCTCTGGCGGCCTCTGGGGGGCCCTGCAAAAGCCCTTTTACCCCTTGCAGCCCCCTGTCCGACCGCGCGTGAGAGCGACCCTTTGCTGGAATGACCTCTGGTGCGGGCCCACCCAGGCCCCGGTCGGCAAATGCGATATATTCGGGCCGCTGAAGAAGGAACCCTTTTCGTTTGGGAGGGGCTCCGTGCTCCTCAGTTGTTTTACAGTGCTCCTTGGGTTTTCCTGAGGTTCTCCTGGAGGTAACTTATGGAGGAGGAGGAGGAGAAGGAGGAGGAGGAGGAGGGGGAGGAGGGGAACAAGGGGCCTCGTTCCTCATGTATCGTTCCTCAGGTCAACGCCCCGACTGTAGCAGCGAGTTGCGCGCCTGGGCGCGGCCTCCCCGCGCCTCCCTGCAGCCGCGCACCAGGGGCAACTCTCGTCAGCAACGCTCGCAAGGGGGGTGGCTCACCACCCACCAAACCACCCCAACCCAACCCGAAGGCCTCAATTTGGCCTCCATTTCCAGTGTGGGGGGGGTCGGGGAACATTGAAAAAACACGGGTGGAACCCTTACCCCCCCAACCCGAAATTCGGGTCTTCGGGTTGGGTTGGGGTGGTCAAGTAGGTAGTCAGTGGCGCGAGGGGGCAGGGCCCGCGGAGGCGAGGTGCTTCTCAGAAAGCGTTGTTTTTTGTTGTTGAGGGGACCGGCGGCGTCGACAAGGGCGTCTCAGAAACTGTGATGGCTTGTTAGGAGCCCCCTGCTTTCTAAGACCCCTCCACCCACGACTTCTTACAAGGCCACCCCTCTCGCGCCACCCCCTTTGCGCGCGCGCGCGCTCTCGCGCGCGCGGACGAGGATGACAAGGAGGAGGACGAGGAGGAGGAGGAGGAGGAGGAGGAGGAGAAGGATGAGGGGGGAGGGCAAGCTTGGCGCCTTCTCGCCTCGTTCTGGCATCCTATCTCTACCTCCCATGCCTTCCCATTGCGCTGATTATGTGTCTATCCGTGGATGCGTGTCGCAGCCGCATGCAATCCCAACAGAAAGACCACATCGTGTTATGCGCAATCGGAAAAAAAGGGGAGCTGCGTGCACAGGAGGAGGGAAAGGAGGAGGAGGAGGACAAGGAGGAGGAAGATGAGGAGCAAGAGGAGGACAAGGAGGAGGAAGATGAGGAGGAGAAAGAGGTGGCGGGTGAGCGGGAGGATGAGTGGGAGGAAAGGGACGAGGACAAACAGCAGCAGCATGAATCGGAGTTGAAGGAGTAGAAGGAACAGGGGGACCAGGGGAAGGTGGAGGAGGGGAAACGAGGGGGGCGACAACGGTGAAGAAAGACTCGGCTACAGAAAAGTGGCCCACGCTGGGGCGAGAGCACCATTCTGAACGACGGACGGCTACCATATGTAGGACTGGGGAGAAGGGCGGATGCGGAGGTCCTCCTCCTCCTCCTCCTCCTCCTCCTCTTCCCTTCCTACCTATGGTAGTGGTGGTGGAACATGGGCCCATCAGCGCTGATTTTTCTCTATCCGCGGACGCGTGTCATAGCAGACCAAGAACTCCCAGGAGGACACCATCGTGCTGAGCGCCGATCCTGACATGTGGCCCACGCTGTAGCGGGAATGCCATCTTGAAATGCAGAAAAACAAGCGGATGGGACCGAGAGGGCCGAATACCTCCCGCACGGAGTCAGGAGAGACAGAAGAGTAGTATTCATAATGTGTAATTGTGGAGGGGCGCGGGGGGCGGGGGACAGAAGAGGAGAAGGAGGAGGAAAAAATTAATAACATGAAAAATAATATAATACTGATAAGAAGAAGAGTATGATGAAGAGGAAGACGAATGATAATAACCACACTAACAGTAATACATATTGTAATAGTAGTAATAATATCAAGGATAAGAAAAATAGTAATACGAAGAAGAAGAAGAGTATAACATAATAGTATGAAAAAGAAGACGAGGAAGAGGAAGAGGGGAGGGAGGAGGGAGAGGGGAAACGAGGAGGAGGAGGAGGAGGAATCCGTAATAATCAGGATTCCCCCTGCTCATCCTCCGCGCCACCAGCCCTGCCCATGGTCATGCCCGCGTGTGGCCGACCTCTGGAGCCCTCTGGCCTTCCGGTTTCCGGCTGACGACGCCCCCAGCCAAAGTGCCGCCGGAGTGGCTGCTGGCGGAGCCCCCGCCCGCGGGCGATGGGGACGCGCAGAGCCAGGACTCCCAATTATCGCCACAACTTCCGACCTCATCCTACTCCTCCTCCTCCTCCTCCTCCTCCTCCTCCTCCTCCTCCTCCTCCTCCTCCTCCTCCTCCCCCTCTTCCTTCTGCTGCTGCTGCTCCTCCTCCTCCTCCTCCTCCCTCCCTCCACCCCCTCCTCCTCCAACCCCCTCCTCCTCCTCGCCCCATCTCCTCCTCCTCCTCCTCATCCTCCTCCTCCTCCTCTCCTCTCCTCCTCATCCCTCCTCCTCCTGCCTTCTCCCCTCCTACTTTCCCCTCCTCTCACTCCCTCCTCCACCTCCTCTCCTCCTCTCCTCCCTCCTCCTCCTCCTCCTCCAATTGCACTCCTCCACCTCCTTCCTCCTCCTCCTCCTCCTGCTCCTCCTCCTCCTCCTCTTCCATTCCTCTCCTATCCTTCCTCCCTCCTTCCTCCTTCCTCCTCCTCCTCTCCATCCTCCTCTTTTCCACATCCTCCTCGTCCCCCTATCATTCTTCTCCTCCTCCTCCTTCCCCCCTCCTCCTTCCCTCTCCCTCCAACCTCTCCTTACCCGCGAGCCTATCCTTCCCCTCCTAATCCTTCTTCCTATCCTCCTCCTATCCTCCTCCTATCCTCCTCCTCCTCCTTCTCCTCTTCCTCCTCCTCCTCCTCCTCCTCCTCATCATCATCATCATCATCCTCATCATCATCATCATCATCATCATCATCATCATCATCATCCTACCCTTCTCCTCCTATCCTCGTCCTGTCTTCCTCCTCCTCTTCCTCCTAGCTGCTCCTCCTCCTCCTCACCTCCTCCATTCAACCTCCTCCTCCTCCACCCCCCCACCCCCCTCCTCCTCCCTCCAATCACCTCCTCCTCCTCCTACATCCTCCTCCTCCTCCTGCTCCTACCTACACCACCTACCTCCTATTGCTCCTCCTCCCCCCTTCTCCTCCCTCCTCCTCCTCCTCCATCTCCTTCCTCCTCCTCCTCCTCTTCCAATTCATCTCCTACTCCTCACTCCTTCCTCCCTTCCTCCTCTCCTCAACACATCATAATCCTCTCCTCCCCATCGTTTTCCTCCTCTCCTCCCCCCCCTATTATTTCCTTTCCCCCTCCTCCTCCTCCTCTCCTCCTTCTTCCTCTTCCTCCTACCTCCCCACACACCTATCCCTTCTCCTCCTGAATCCTCCTCCCATCCTCCCTCTATCCTCCTCCTAATCCTCCTCCTCCTCCTCTTCCTCCTCCTCCTCCTCATCATCATCATCATCATCAGCATCATCATCATCATCATCATCATCATCATCATCATCATCATCATCATCATCATCATCCCTCTCCTCCTACCCTTCTCCTCCTATCCTCGTCCTATCCTCCTCCTCCTCCTCCTCCTCCTCCTCCTCCTCCCTGTTCCTCCTCCTCCTCCTTCTCCTCCTCCTCATCATCATCATCCTTTTCCTTCTCCTCCTAGTCCTCTCCTCCTCCTCCTTCTCCGGCTGCCGTCCCGGCTTGCGTTTCCCATAATTCAACAATTCGAAAAGGGTGAAGCATGGGAAACGCAACCCCAGACAATTGCCCCAAGGACACATTGCGCGGGAAACGCGTTTCCCATATTTCGAATTCCGTATTCTGAGAAAAGGCATTGAATGGGCTGGAATTTGCGTTTCCCAGAATTCGAATTTAGAGTTTGGGAAAACGCAATTTCCCATAATTCGAATCCCGAATTATGGGAAACGCAATCTCCTTGGAACAAGCCGCACTCAATGGGCTGGAATTGTGTTCCCCATCGTGCCAAGTTATGGGAAACGCAATTTCCTTTGGACAACGGCACTCGATGGGCTGGAATCGTGTTTCCCATAATTCGAATTTTGAATTTCGGGAAGCGCTTTTTCCCATAATTCGCATTCCGAATTATTGGAAACGTAATGTCCATTGGAAACAACGCACTCGATGGGCCGGAATTGCGTTCCCCATAATTCCGAATTGTAGGAAACGCAATGTCATTTGAAGAACCGCATTCGATGGGCTGGAATTGCGATTCCCGCAGTTCGAATTTTGAATTTCGGGGAACGCGGTTTCCCAGAATTCGAATTCCGAATTGTGGGAAACGCAGTTTTCCTTGGAAGCCCCCATCGATGGGCTGGAAGTGCGTTTTTCCCAAATTCGGAATTATGGGCAACACAATTTCCTTCGAAAAACCGCACTCGATGGGCTGGAAGTGCGTTTCCCATAATTCGAATTCCGAAGTTCGGGAAACGCGGTTTCCCATAATTCGAATTCCGAAGTTCGGGAAACGCAATCCCCCCCTCAAAAAAACAACAACACTCAAAAACAAAAAAACACAACAAAACGCAGCCGATGGGCTGGAATTGCGTTTCCCATAAGTCCGAATTATAGGAAACGCATTGTCTACTGAAAAAACCGCACTAAATGGGTCGGACTTGCGTATCCCACACTTCCGAACTATGGGAGGCCCAGCTTCCGTTGAACAGCCGCACTCAATGGGTTGGAATTGCGTTTCCCATGATTCGAATTCAGAGTTTCGGGAAACGCGATTCCCCAGAACTTCGAATTCCGAATTATGAGGAACGCAGTGCCATACCCAATGGGCTCGAATTGCGTTTCCCATAATTCCGAATTCTGTGAAACGCAAATTCCTTTGACCAGACCGAACTCAATGGGCTGGATTTGCATTTCCCATAGTTCAAATTCCGAACGATCGGAAACGCAATTTCATGCTACAAATGCATCCAGTGGGCTGGAATTGCGTTTCCTGTAATTCACATTGTGTTTGTCAGGAAACGCGGTTGCCCACAATTCGGATTCCGAATTATTGGAAACGCGATTTCCCTTGGAAGCACCGCACTCGATGAGCTGGAATTGCGCTTCCCGGAATTCCCAACTATGTGGGACGAAATTTCTTTTGACAAGCCGCATTCGATGGGCTGGAATTGCGTTACCCATAATTTGAATTTAAGATTTCGGGAAACGCGGCTTCCCATAATTCAAATTCCAAATTATGGGAAACGCAATTTCCTTTGAAAAACGCACGCGATGGGCTGGATTTGTGTTTCCCATAATTTTGACGCGTGGGACGCGCAATTTCCATTTGAAAAACACACCCAGTGGTCTGTAATTGCGTTTCCCGCATTCGAATTCTGATTTTCGGGAAACGTGGTTTCCCATTTTTCAAATTCCAAATTATGGGAAACGCAATTTCCTTTGAAGAACCGCATTCGACGGGCTGGACTTGCATTTCCCATAGTTTCGAAGCATGGGAAACGCAATTTCCCTTTGAAGAACCACACCCACTGGTCTGCAATTGCGTTTCCTGTCATTCGAATTCTGAATTTCGGGAAACGCGGCTTCCCAGAATTCTAATTCCAAATTATGGGAAACGCAACTTCCCTGGACAATCCGCACTCGATGGGCTGGATTTGCGCTCCCATAATTTCGAAGTCTGGGAAACGCAATTTCCTTTCGATCAGCTACACCCAATGGTCTGTAATTGCGTTTCCCGCAATTGGAATTCTGAATTTCGGGAAAGGCGGTGTCCCATAATTCAAATTCCAAATTATGGGAAACGCAACTTCCTTTGAAACAACCGCACACGGTGGGCTGGATTTGCGCTCCCTATAATTTCGAAGTGTGGGAACACACTTTCCCTCTGACAAACCACACCCGATGGTCTGGAATTGCGTTCCCCGCCATTCGAGTTCTGAATTTCGGGACACGCAGTTTCCCAGAATTCGAATTCCAAATTGTGGGAAACGCCATTTCCTTTGAACAGCCGCACTCGATGGGCTGGATTTGCGTTTCGCACGCTTCCGAATGATGGGAATGAGAAACCGCACTCCGTGGGCCTGAAGTGCGGTTTCCCAGATTTCGAATTCCGCAGTATGGGAAACGCAAACTATTATATATATATATATATATACATAAGCACTTCCCATGCCTCCCATGCTTCCGAATTGTGGGACGCGCAGTTTCCTTTGACCAGCCGCACTCGGTGGGCTGGAATTGCGTTTCTCCTTGTTCGAATTCATACTTTCAGGAAACGCGGATTCCCAGAATTCGAACTCCGAGTTGTGGGAAGCGCAATTTCCTTTGAAACCACGCATTCAATGAACTGGAATTGCGCTTCCCATAATTCGAATTCCGACTTCCGGGGAACCAGAATGCAAATTCCAAATTATGGGAAACGCAATTTCACACGGAGATCCGCATTCGATGGGCTGGAATTGCGTTTCCCGTAATTCGAATTCAGAATTTCGGGAGACGCTGTTTCCCAGAATTCGAAACCCGAGCTATGGGAAACACAATTTCCTCTGACAGATCGCATTCTTTTGGCCCGACTTGCATTCACCAAAACTCCAATTCTGGGAAACGCAATTTTCCATTGAACAACCGCACTCGATGGGCTGGAATTGCGTTTCCTAAAATGGGAAACGCAAATTCCATTGACAAGCCGCACTAACCGCTAACCCGTGATAATAAACACTAGGGGGTAATAAAGTTCGGGGTTCAGGGGGGGATAATCAAAGTAGCCCAACAGACCTCAGCATAATCTCGAAGTAAGAGATGATCAAGAGGAGACCAAGCCGAGCACGTTTTGAGACATCCTTGGCGTTTAGTCTTCATAGAAATATCTTCAACAATGGCTTACCTCGCTGGAGACATCCTCGACAAATCCCTTGTTTCGCTTGAGACATCCACAAACTATTGCTTATTTCGCTTGAGACACCGTCAAACTATTTCTTATCTCGCTCAAGAAAGGCGGAGAAATGGAGAAAGCGATATACAAAAACAAAAATAAAAAGAAACAATAAGAAATGGAAAAGAAAAAGGAACACACAAAAAGAAAAGAAAATAGAGGAGGAGGAGGTAGAGAAGGAAAAATCTCAAGTTCCAATGTATTAGAGTTTGTTTACAAGCGCTTTCTATGAAAATTAAAATTTTTAAGTGCTCGTGTAGGGTAGCTCATGTGCTTCATTTTCCATGGATAATCCAC